TCGCGTTCTCAAAATAATTAAAAATTGTTAAATTCTTGCGTTTTGACATCCTAAAGATCCAAGAACAGCAAATATATATATTGGCACAGAAATATCCGCTATGCTACGATCTTAAAGCTTCGAGCTGGAATGAATAACTTCAACGAGCTCAGTATCTCCAATAGTGATTACTGATTTCTTCACTAGTCGAAATAACGGCGACGACGGGTTCGGCGATTGAATGAACTTTTTGTTAAGACCGAACAAATCAGATTTAGCTACGAGCACCGAAAGACAAACGGCAGAGATAACTCTTAGTCTGACTAACTGACTCCACTGTTCTCCGTTCCCTCTTTTATATAAATTTTCACCGCAACACCAAAATTCTCGAATTGTCTCAAACACGACAGAACGTGTAGGATTCCAGAATCACCGCGTAAAGATCTCGCGAATGAAAGCCAGTCTCGAAAACTATCGCGACTGTCAGGACAGAAAGAAACCAGTCCGTAACAGTATCACGTGAATTTGGTTTCAAAAGTACAACCCTATTATAGTAAATGTTTTTTTAGTGTTCTGAGAAAGTAGGCATAAGGCAAATAAAAATATATAGTCTTTAAAAATAATAGTTCGCATAATTTCTACTAAAATTTTCATTTTTACCATTTCATCTGAGCTCAAGGGGGGAGTTTAAACCCCTAAACCCCTCCCTTGCGTACGCCACTGGCTGAAAATATATGACCCAATATATCTTTATGATCCCAATAAATTGAACAGGAAGTTTGAGGGGAAAAAAAGAGAACTTAAAACTGAAAAATGCAGAAAGTTAGCTGGCAAAAAATTTAACTATTCTATTAAATAAATTAATGAGACAAATATCCAATACTCTCCTTCCTTCTTGCTATAACCGTTCATATTTTAGATATTTTTTCATATTCACCAGTCCTTCAAAAGAATTTTTATGGACTTGAAATTATTGCAAAATGATAAACAGAAAGTGGTTTGCCCAGAAAACAGAGGTCCCATTTGAATTCAGGAGACAATTTTACATATGAATGTGCACTTCACCCAACCATGACGAGACCGATATCAGGTTTAACAGCCATGATAATTTGACCGCGGTCAGACGACATGGATAGCGAAGCTGGTACCTCTCTCTCCTAACTTCCTCACCACGATGAACGAGAGAACTTTCAGCCACACCACAGACTGAACAAGCTTCTTGAAGTATATAACATGCTGGTCATTTTTCTATAACCGTCGTTGAACATACAACCCAAATTTGGGTTTACGACTACTGATGTTCAACTACGCAGCTTTTTAATTTTGAACCCTATTCGGAAGACGAGGGAACTCCTGGATCAAGAATTGGGAGAAATTTGCTTTTGTGGAACACTTTTTGATGGAACTAACCAGCATTTGTGTTACATGGAGAGGAAGTACACGAGAGCCTAACACAGTTAGCGTGCCGGCAAGGGGACTTATAACCCATGATCCGTCTACCACTGAGGAATTCGTATCGACCAGCCATCGCTGGAACTCGATTCACCTTATTGGAAGGCAAACGCCCTTTAATTGGATACCAGGATTGAATTCTGAACCCCCAGCTCTCCACCAGTGGGGTCAGAAGCAACTTAACAGACTGTGTTACCGGAGTGTGCTATGAGAATCAGCAAGTAAGATGTCAGAGCATTTTCCATGCAGCAAAGTGCAATTAGTTTCAACAAATCATCCCTCATAATAGAAAAGAATAATCATGTGCAGCAAAATATTTTATTATATATTTTTTCAAATATGAAGTAGATAATTGACACTTTCATCAATAAAATTCTAAAACTTGTTCATAACAACAAAAAATTCGTTGGAAAAAAAAATTACATCAAAACTATCTACAAATTTCTAACAAGAAATGTATGAGTTTCTCAACAAAAAAAAATAACATGCAAAATTTTTTTAATTTAAATGCAAAAGATGAAAGAATTTTGGTATAAAAACAAAAGCACAACCACCCTAGCGCTATATTTTTGTACTACTTGTATAAAATGGGATTGAATTTGTTGGAAAAAATTTACATTAAATCTATATACCAATTTTAACACTAAACATACCATAACCGGTCAAATGACCGTTTAAGAGCTTTTGCATTGAAAATGCGCTTATCATCTTATCGTTTATGCACATTTGACCGCATGACTTTTTCTAACTATTATATACAGATAATATTCTTTTTTTTGTTTCGAATAATACTTGTCGTATACCTATTTCTACCGCAACCGGTCATTTGCCCGGAAGAACAATTTATAGCTTTAAAAGGTTATCGGATCAGAAATGACGATGTAATGCGTGTTCAACGTATTGCATTTGATGAGGTGCACATTTTTGCAAAGACTGTCGCGTAGTGAGTTCAATCAGAATAACTGTGAATTCAAATTTCAAGAAAGTACCTAAAATTTTAGATTGGCATTTTTGTGTCAGAAAAAGTGACAAAAACTAAATGTTTCGGTAAGTAGTTTATGTTTCATTTTGCTTTACTTCATTTCTAACTAACTGTTAGTTTTTACCCAAAAAAATGTCGAAACAATCAAGACAGCACAAGTTCTTAAACGAGATAATATAAACTATAAGAATAATTATAAGTATTATAATTCTTATAATTATAAGAATCATAGAAATAATAACAATTAGAAGAAATATGTTTGCGGAAAAGTACAATGAAAACATCCTGTATATGTAAAAAAATGTGTTGGGCAATGAATTAAAAATTCTTATTCTACGTGTTTGCAATGTATAAAAATTAGCAATGTATAATTTTGTTTAATTATAATAAAGTGTTTTTAGTTTATTTCCTCCCTAACATCCAAATTTCACATATTCAACCAAGAAACATCCAAGAACAACAAGAACAAAGTTCGGTCATGTAATCGAGTATGGTAGAAATAGGTATACACTAAGTATTGGTATGTTTGGTGTTAAACAAGAAATGTATGAGTTTCTTGAAAAAAAATACAAAAATGTTTCAATTTAATTATAAAAGATGAAAGAATTTTTGTATAAAAACAAAAGCACAACCACCCTAGCGCTGTAATTTTTTTTTGTACTACTTGTATAAAATGGGATTGTAAGGGATAAAAATCTATCACAGAAATTGTTTCAAAAGCACAACACTTAGGGCAGGGAATGAAATAAGAGATTCCATTTACGAGATTCTGATTGGCTACAAATGGTGAGGATAATGTATTCACCAACATTTTCTTTGTGAACACCAAGACACAGTCCTGCAGCCATATTATAAATAGGGGAGTCCACCTACAATCAAAAAAGAAGTGCACTCTTAATTTTATTCAATAAATCCTATATGCAAGGTATCTGCTACATTTAAGATTTTCAAATCCATGACCTTTCATGGCTAATTCAAGAATTATTCATGACTTACCGAAGTTACTATTGCAGAGGTGATTGTGAGTCCAACTCAAAAATCCTGAAAATTTCTTGAGTAAAATCATTAATGACTCATTTCAAAAAATTAATTACTTCATAAATTTAAATCATTGATATTTTCAGAACATTCAATTCTAAATAAATTATATACAGCATAATTTAAATGTATAAGTTTACTTTAACCTTCAATCACATTTAGTATTTTACCAGAAAAAATATTTACAAATGAAAGATGCAAAGTAAAAATTCTAGTTCTAATATTTTTAAATAAAATATACAAGAATTTTTATACATAAATGTGATCTATGAATTCTTAAAATTTTTGGACCTAGGATTTCCGGAAACTTCCGGAGCAGAGTTAGGGAAAAATCCGGAAATCTGGATTTTTTCCGGAGCACAATCACCTCTGCTATTTTCTCCAAATAATTCTCCTTTATCTGCTTAAGCACGCAGCATCGGCTTTTAACCACTGGATATCATTGTTGGCCAGTCTCAAAGCCCCCCTGGAATCGCGGGCAACTTGGCCACATTGTTGTAGTATGCAATTGAGTCCTTGCAGAAAGGCAAAAGGATTTTTCTTTTGGAAAGTTAAAAAAAAAATTCTTTTCTGCAGAATTTTCTAAGACGATTTTTTTTCCAGCGGAAATATACTCCAAAAATACTTTTTTTGTTCATCGGAAATGAAAGAAACACTCCCGATTTTTCTGTTCTCATTTGGAAATAAAAAATTTTCGACAATTACTGGCTTGCTTCAGCTAGAATTTTAAATTCATAAAATAAATAATAAATAAATTCTGAAATCGTAAAAGTTTGAAATATAATTCGCTCTAGAAATGATGTTCTTTCGTTAATTTTCTGAAAGAATACCATAATTTTTAAGGAACACCATAAGAACAATTTTTATTTTAATAAAATGTGACAGTGAGTGGGGATTTTGTTACAAAGTCAGATATTCGGAACACTATGAAATTAGGGAGGTAAATTCCACTTAAAAAATGAGATTTTTCTGCGACCTAAATCCATGATTTTCCATGATTTTTTTTTTAAATAGTTAAAATCATGACAAATTTTGTTCAATATCGAAATTCATGATTCTCCATGATTTTTTATGACTTTCCAGGTGTGCAGATACCCTGCATATGGTTGGCAAAAGAATCACTTTTAATAACTTAAAATCTAATAATCAGTTTTTCATGTAGTAAATTGCAATATCAATGGTTTGATTTTCAAATGGTGCAGAAGATAGTTCAAATTATGAAATACAACACAAAAAAATTCTCTCTTAAAATAAACATAATAATAGATTCAGAAATCACGATCTCAAAAATATTTAAAATATAGACTGAGTTTTAGCATTTGAATGTTATTTGTATATCTAAGCAAAATTAATAACTATAATTGAAAAACTAATTAGATAAATCATGTGCCTAAATATAATTTCATGCAAAAGTTATTTTTAGTACTAATTTTAAGGGAAATAAGACATTTTTTAAAACTAAATCAAAATTGTTATTTCATATTTACCTGCTTTTGACAGTATGCATATAAATGAGATAAATACACTGTGTTTTGCAATTAAGAAACATATTGATGAAATACGTTTTTACTAGCTTTGTATAAGATTATTTCTCAAAACGTATTTCATACTTGCAAATATAATATCTTGGATTTCCCTCCTAAAAATTTCAAACTTTTTTTAAAGCTGCATTTTAATATTAGTTTATTGAAAATTACAAATGTAAAAAAAATACAATGAAAACTACATTACTTATAAAAATATACATGTTACAATTTTAACAGGTTATTGTGTTCCCAAATATGAGCAAGATAGATTTAAAGAGCGTAAATGTAGATTTAAACAAATGTAGATTTAAACAAGGTAGATTTAAACATTTGAATTAACTGAGAGCTTCTTTTATTTTATAAGTGCATTCATGGGGAAAATGCAGAATCTTTCACATTTACATGAGTTTTGACATGTATTTTTATTGCAAATTTTCAAGTATACATTATCAAAATATAAAGAAATTTTAAGAAATATAAAATATTGATTTTTTTTAAAAATTCATAGAGAATTTTTTTAAGAACTTATACACATTATTTCTCTTTTTGCACAATGGTGTTTGATATCATGTCTTGCTACAAGCCCTTCAAGATTTAAAAAAGCAGTTTAAAAGAATACCCATCTAAAATAATTAAATTTATAATGTATAAATAACTACAAAAAAGTAAATTTTATTTCATTAAATTTTCATTCATTTTCATAGTTTGAGTTGAATTAAATTATAAAGCCAGGCTTAAAGACAAAAGAAAAGTTATTTCAGTTTTAAAGAAAAGCTATTTAAATTTAACAAGAACTATTTTTTCCACAAGTCCTGTTATGAATTTCAACTTCACCAAAAAAGACACTGTAATCAATTCACAAGAATTATGAATGAGATCACTTGCATGGCAGGCAATGGATTGGAATGGAAGACTTGGGAAGCCTAAGAAGTATTACCCACATTATATTGTTTTGTTATTCATTTGGCCTTTTAATTCATTAAACTATTCCACACCGCATTATCACTGAAATAAGTGCATTACATGGAAAAGTGAAAAAACTTTCACCTTTATACGAGTTTCAACATGCATTTTTAAAACAACCCTAGCAAAATAACTTGGTGGGCCCTCATTGGACCAATATTGATTAATCTTGGCTCCATAAGGGTTCGAAATTTTTCTAATATGGGCCCTATATAGAATCATCCGATATTATACTGCCACTTTACAAACAATATCGGAACTATATAGAATTGACAGATTCATCCGATATTTTATAATCATTATTCAGCCAATATAAGCCCCATATAGGTCGATATTGATACTGGATAGAACCAATATTAAAAAATCTGGACATCTCAATATCGGTCCCTCAGAGCATGTTCATGTAGGACCAATATTAAGCCAATTTCGAGCCCAACTGGGACCAAGATATAATTGTTGCTAGGGAATGTTCTAAAATATGCATATTATCGAAATATTGTAGAAGATTCTACAAATAAAATGTTGGCCGATTTCACAGCCAACTCTGTAACAACAAATATATTACTTTTTCTTTTTAAATTATGATTTTTTGACAACCAGTTTAGCTTCAAGTCCTTAGGTTTGCTCTTTTAACTGAATATCTAAACCTGATCATTAACTAGACATTTTTACTTCGGTGTAGGAACGGATGGTTAGAATATGATCTTACTGTGTCTGCGTGCCTCCAGTCTTGTGATCCACCCATTTCATGGCACTTGGACAAACGAGGGAACTGTTCACCAGCATCCAGGCAGAGAAGTTGAGCCAACCTGATATCATGTTTAGCACTCTCGTACCACATCTAATCATAAGCGTAAACAATTATTAATTATGCATAGCAAAACAGTTTTTCTTAAGTTATAGTATGCTGATGACTTGAAGTTCTTAAAAAAATGCACACAAAAAAATCAAGCCTTCAAAAGCATTGTTTTTTATATATATGTTACCGGCAAAGTTTGAAATCCATCATTCTACAGAATGCCTAAAACTAGCCGGCAATGTATGAAACGATTCATATTTCACACCCTTCCTAGGCATTCTATAGAATGCCAAATGAGAAACCCGCAAAGTATGAAATACATCTCCGATTCGTTTCGAAATGTAATGAAACGTAATTAAAAATGTCATTCAAGCCTGCCATGTTGCAACAAGTAGTTTAATTCCTTATTTTTTATATGAACATTTTGTTTCTTTTATTAAGAAAGATATAAACTATAATTTGTACAACTTTCATTTTTCTTTAAGCATTTTGAATAATTTTTTTTAAATAGCACTCTCATTATTTTTTCAGAATAACAGTTTTATTTTTGAGAAAGGCACATCTACATAATAACCTCATCAGGACGTTTTTTTCATACTTTGACAAAATAGCAAGTCATACTATAGAATGCTTTGGTATTATATACAATGCCTAGGGAAAGAATGTAATTCTTCTCATGTTTTATACCTTGCCTGAACACATTTGGCATTCTATAGAACGCTGCTGTTTCATACTTTGCCGGTAACATACAGTGAAACTCGGTAGTGACAACTTTATGTTCCACAGTAAAATGTCCGTTAACAGAGGTTGGTCATTCTTTGGGGGTTACCTTCATTGACTTCAAAATGTTATGGAGGGTACATGAATTTTCACAAATAATTTTACTCACTGTCGCTTGCGTAAATGCCACTTGTTTTGACGCCATGAAAACCGGATCAATTAATGAAGCTTAGTGTCAATGAAAATGATCTTTACTGATATAATAATGTGTAAAAATTCATTTACCAATTATGAATGATAGAACTATTTTAAATAAGTCAACAATTTTGTTTTATGTTTGAATTTGCCTTTAATTTTATATCATAATAAGTTAGCTTTAAAAAATGAGAAAAAGTTTGCTTGTTTGAAATGTTTCTTTGTTTTTAAAAAATATTTTTTTTTTCTAATTTAACTTTCAACTCTTAAAATTAATCATGGATAGCATCGTCTTCAGTGCTGCTGTAACTGCAACTTGGGGTTGATGATCTCCTTCAAAGATCATCAAAAAGAGCTCTCCAAATAAGAGTCACTCAAATATTTTGGATGCATTTTAATCTACTAATTTGTTTTGTAAATACTTTTTATTAATATTTTTCACGTTTTCTTATTTGACCTTTTCCACATTTGGTGCAGAAATTAGCATAGTCGCTGGGGAAGGTTTTGATGGTTTCTCTTAACGGTTTCCTTCAACACAATGTGTATGGAAAAAATTTCGTACCTCCCAAGTGGTCAAAAATGGAGGAGGCTTGTACACAGAGGTGGTCTTTTCTGAAGATTTCACTGTATGTATATATATCATAACTTGAACTATACACTTAATGTAGGGGGAAACTAATGGTCAATACTGGCCACAAGGCAACTCAATTGAAGTAAATTGTATTTAAAAAAATTGGCTGCCAGTTGCCACCGGTGTCTTGGGATATTCATTCACTTTTAGATGCACCTGGATAATTTTTGTCCGCACATGCGCTGTATAAAGCAACTACTTCAATTACTCTTATCTGGCGCAGTTTTTATTATTATTTTTTTAATTTTAAAGCAATAATTTCGTTATCAGTTTAAAATTGATTCAAACGCTTTGTTTAATTAATTTTTTTAAATATTTAAGCTATAGAAAAAGTGGCACTAGACCTAGTAGTATATATTTCGGACAATTACCAAAGGTCTAGTCATACTAGGTCTGGTTAAGTGCCATTGCCCGGTACACATTTGCCTGGTATATTCTACACTGATGTTTTTTTAAGATTCAGTGCCACTGCCAGGTATACATTTGGCCGGTATACCCTACACTAATGTTTTTTTAAGGTCAAGTGCCACTGTCCGGTATACATTTGCCCGGTATGCCCTACACTGATGTTTTTTTATAGGTTCAGTGCCACTGCCCGGTATACCCTACACTGATATTTTCTTAAAGTCAANGTATATATTTGCCCGTTACTCCAAACACTGATGTTTGTTCTAATCTATCGTCAGTAAGTATTAAAATATCGAATAAATGTAATTATATCCACAAATAAATTCATATCAAATTGCATGCAATAAATATTTCGGACATACACCAAAGCGACTAATTTGATTGTCAACATTCACCGGTGAAAGTCAACAACCACAGAATTCGGTCATTCACAGTAACATGCACATCATTTACATTATAACCTCATCAGGACAATTATTTCATACTTTGCCTAAATAGCATCTGGCATTTCAAAAAATAAAAATAATTTGTTTTGTTGGCGATGATCTCGTAAGGTAATAAAGAATCATGCATAGCACAGGTAAGGATGATATTAACCTCGAAGGAAAAGTGGATGAATACCCCAAGGAATCGTTGCCACCAGATTACCACTTTTTGTTGAAAATATACCCCAAGTGCACATTATTTTAATTTTTAAATAAATATCAAATTATATTATGAACATTTTAAAACATTCTGAAAACTACTTTATTTATCAATTGCTTAAAATCAGTTTCTGCTTCAAATTTATCGGTTTCTTAATTTAGCAATAAGCCTTGCAATGCTTTCCACATTTCAAAAAATGTTCAAAAGAATTGCCTAACAGTTTTTTATTCATTTAAATTTTCCAATTTTTAAAAAATGATCTCAACTAAAAATACTACAACTGACCAGTAGCAATATTTCCTTACTTTGCCCTATAATATTTTATAAAAAAAAAAATAAGGTAATAATTAAATAGTATACAAGTTATGAATAAAATAAATTGTAACTTAACAAGATTCATACAGCATTAATTTTTAGATACAGTTTTCAAATAATTAACGTTGCATTTTCAAATGTTTTTTGATACTCCTAAAATTGAGAAACAGCCGACAACTCAAATTCAAATTCTTATATCGATAAAAATTCTGTTTAACATTGACACTTGTAATAGAAGAATATTTAAAATAATAAAAACCAATGCAAATTTATGAAAAATCACAAGTAAAATGATTAAAATAAAAAATATAATTCAAAATTCATGAAAATGTATTAAAAAAGGAAGAAAAAAAATCTAAAAAGACTTTTAACACCCTAAAAAGAAAACGACCAAAATGTAAGAAATGCAAAAAATAAATTAATTATCAACATCCTAGTCTTGGTTGTTAGAAAAGTAAACGGTATACAGAATAAACATTTTTAAATATTTGCTTACAAAGTTAAGAGTGTCAAAATGCTAAGGAATGATTTTTGATGAAGAATTTGGATACATAGATCAAGGGAAGTGTTTAACAAACAATTTGTACAGTTTTAATGTACAATAAGCAAATGTGTAGTGGGGGTTTTTTATAGGAGAAAGACTACTGCAAATTACTAACGCATATTTGTACAATGAATTTTTAAATTTGCACATTTTTGTTAGAAACCCTAATCCATAGCATTTTTTTCTCCCTTTAAAATTAGTAAAGTAATCAATATTAATTACAATTTTTTAAAAAAATTTCAAATTGTAGTATTTTGCATGATACAAAATTATGTTGTTACTTACAAAGTTATGGCCAATTATATTAAAAATCATTCTTGGATTTACAACTATTAACCTTTTTTAAAAACTGCTATAAAATGCTTAAAAAAAATAATAATAATTGTTCAGTATTTTGCGTGATACAAAATTATGTTGTTACTTACAAAATTATACTAAACGAAACAACAAAATGAAGACGTTTTCTAATTCACAATTGCTTTGATAAGAATTTCGTAATTCTTTTCTTCATTTGGTTGGAACAGTACTCCTACTTTGGGATATTCACAATTTCATTACAAATTTTTAAAAAAAAGGTTATTTTATTAGAAAAATATAAAAATGTAAACAGGAACTGTTTGCTAATTATTAAAAATTACTAAACTCTGAGAGTTTTAAACTTCAAAAAGGGATTTGAACCCCATGAATCCTTGCTCAGATCATAGGTCATATAATCTAAACTGAAGACAAATTTAAATAAATTCATAAATGATTCTTATATGCACAGTGAAAAAGGTGACTAACATTGAAAAATAAGGCACCAAAAGAATGCAGTAATATTAAAATGGCACACTTTTTAAATGGTTTATTTTGCAATGAGTCTCATTTTAAGAGTTTTTCTTGACATCGAAAACTGATTTACAGCTTTAACAGAGCTCAAAATTGACAGTTCATCGTGGACTGCTAAAACTTGGCTAGGACCACCATAAAATAGTTACTAGAGATCCCCTGAATGAATGTAAAAGGATGTTATATTGTTTTAGTTCCTTGATTTTTATTTCATTTTCAGGTGTGTATTTTTGTCCCTAAATAGCACACATCAAGCGTCATCATTACTTACTCTTTGTATAATCATTTTTCTTCAAAAAAAAATGATATATTAGAGATATGTAAAATGGACCAGTTAATATATTTTAATTACTGGACCAGACACTAAATTTCTACCCTTGTTAAGGAAGAGTAGGAAAATGAAATTAAAAATCACCTGACGTTTCAGTTTTGAGCACTTTTGAAGAATGAGCAAAGAACCTTTTGTAGTGACATCATCTTCTGATTCAATACACAATTCAGTGCCTGTCAGTTGAATCTAAAGAAAACAATAAAAGACAACATCTCTCTTAAAAGTTACTTTTTAAACCTTTGTTTAAGATGAAATACAAAAAGTATACATTAAGACGTCATAAATTTATACAATAAAACCTTAGGTTAGGTTATGAATGTTTTACTAGATGAGAAAATTTTTTGAAGGAATTTTAACTTCGAAAATAAGTGATAATAAACTATACTGCAACATGATAAGATAACCAATAAACAGGGATGGCAAGTTTCTTGCACAATGGGAAAAATACCTCTGTGATGCCACAATAGGCATTACATATTTCCTAGATTTAAAAATGTCTTTAATGACTCAAACTTATTTTTTAATCATTATCAATCGAATTATATTTGAATCAAATCACTTAACTAATCGATTTAATTTAAATATAATTCGAAAATATATAAATCAAATAATAATGAAAATATATGTATATATCAAATTATAAAACAATTTTTAAAGCGTTAATAATTGCAATTTATTTTAAATTATATTTTCAAGCTATTTAATATACCATTTTTAAATGTGAAAACTAAAAAGCAACAATAGGGAACAAAAATTAATTTAGTGAATAATTTAAAAAAATTTAAATAACAGTAACCCTTCAAGTAGCAGGCATACCTGCCAACTTTTACGCAATTGGCGTAAAATTTTATTTTTATATTTAAAGTGGTAGTAAAATGTAAGCTTTCTATAATTCCTTGCATTTATAATCTTTTTGTCTTTTTATATTTTTAAAAAAATTAAGCATATATTAATTAATAATACTATCATAGTAGTCCGTCTAAACTTTATCAAAACACAGCGTATATTTCTGCTTAAAATTGTCACTTTTCCATTTCACTACCACTGAGGAAAATCATACTCAAAAGGACTAAAAGTTGACAGGTATGAGCAGAGCATAGCATAGCATAGCATATTTCATAATAAATAAGAAGAGCTTCTAAAACAACAAATTAACTAACAAATCCCATTTGTTATTATTCAACAAATTTATTGTTATTATTTGTACAAATTAATTATTATTATTAATTATTCAACAAATCCAATAACATACTGAGTTTTATAATAAATTTCTGTTTCTGAATATTCAAACAGAGTTTTAAGTAATACGAGGAATATATTTTAAAATCCTGTAAAAATATATAAACAATAGAAAAATAACTATCTTCATAAATAGATTTGATGAAAAAAATGGTTTTATATAACTTTTTATGGTTTTATATAACTTTTGATTTGATTCAAAGTAAGATATTTGTAACACTTATTGCTAAACCATTGTATAGGTTATTTTTGCTTTCTTCCATTTTATCCTATTTCTTAGAGTGCACTGGAAGATATATGTTTCTTTTGCACTAAATACCCAGCCTATTCACAAACTAGTACATATTTCGATATTCAGCTTCTTTGAATGATGCTATATTTGAATTATTGTTCAGCTTCCTTTGTTAATCTGGCTTTCCAGATAATTATTTTGGTAAACACAGTATATTCACCATTAAATGTGAAAGTTAATATAAGACTTGTTTTATAGATAAAATATTGTTACTAATACAATATTTTGAAGTTGAAACCTTCTCAAAACAGGTGTAAGATTTATGTACACATTAGTGTTTTAAAATTCAAAAAAGTTTTTAAAAGATTTAAAACATTTAATATCAGAAACCTATGTCTCAAATATCTTTTAAAAATCTGAAGGAAATTATTGTATAGCTTAAGTAAGTCAATATTTTTTGCATCTTAATAACTAAAAAAATTTAAAATATCCTAAAATTATTTTTAGTGTACAGGCCCTTTGATGAATCTTATCATTGGAACAAGGCATAGCTGATTTTTTCTTTTTAATATTACTCAAATTATCATTTTTAAATTCCTTGGCCAAAATTATTATGCATGTAAGAGTACTATTATGAGCCAAATACTATAAAATCTAATTATCTAGAATTTCAAAAGCAGTAAAACCTACCATAAACTTTAAAAAAAGCAGATTAAGAAAAGAAAAAGTAAGCATAAATTGAAATAGACTAAGGTCACACTGCACTAAAATTCCCAATCATTTCAAAATTTCAAGTCTTAATTTATAGCAAATTACCTTTTTGCCTAAAAGGGAGACAGAAGATGTACAAGAAAAGGGGTAAAAGACAAAGAGATAATGGAAAATAAAATTTAAAAAAAAAGGTTGAGGTGGGGAAAAAATGCTTTTATTTAATATGTAATTATTACACGTTTGCTTCCTTTTGCTGAAAATAAGAAATTTTTTATTTTATTTATCTAAAAATGAGATACAAAAAGAGAAATACCTGATATCTAAATAATATTTCAGTGGTTGAATGCTTCCACTGATTCTTCATCTGAGCAAGGTGAGCTTTTTTTTCTGAAAGGTTTGTTTTGACTTGTGGTGGACCAAGTTCAGGATAGATAGTCTTCATGTACCAATCAAAAGATTTACACTGAAGATTCTTCCTTAAATCAAGGCGGCTCGAAATATCACCATAACTCTTATTTCGTGCATCTGGTCTGACTTTGAAAAAGTTTTCCTAGGTGAGATTATGCATACATATAATACACTATGTAGTTAAAAATCTTAAAATTTCCAGGTCCCTGTTTTGTTTTTTTCTTATAAAGTGCAGTATGTGTACAAGAAAAGTGCCTGTATTATCAAATATTTCATTAAATGTGTCATTTTTTTAACATATCATCTTGAAGAAAAAAATTATTTTATTTTTTTATGTTTTGCAACAACATTAATTTTTAAAAAATTAAAATATGTGGAGAAAATAATATGTTTAGCTTGTCGAACATATTGTTTTTATGGAATAAAACTTTTTTAATGTGTTACTTTAAGTAGTATTTCCTCTAAGTGTACCTACAAAATGGCAAAAACAGAGTGACCAATAAATTCATTTAGAAAAGGAAAACCATTTCAGGTAATTATATATCAATAAACTTTTATAATTACAGTGGCTCCCAAAAGTATTTCTTCACTTTTAACTTTTATTGAAATGGGAAATAAAAATTCATTAATTAAAATGAATATTTCAAAATGGGTATTTGATAACAAGATGTATAATCAATTCTTAGCAAAACTGCATGGAATATTTTAAAAACAAAGCAAAAGTTAGTTTTTAAGATATCAATAATCAAACAGTAACAAAAATTTTACACAACGAAAGTCATTGTACAGTTAAAGGCTTTCGGTATTTCAGAATAAAAATTATCGTCAATTGCTTTAAATTCCTTTTATTTAATTATTTTTCATTTAATTATTTATTTGCAATTTAGTATCAAACTTATGATAACAAAATTATACTTAAATTTTTGCTTGCTAATTCCGTATTATTTTATTTTATCATTTAAAAAATGGCTTGAGGTTGTAATAAAACAATAGACCAAATTTGATTATTTTTCATCAGAAGAGGTAAATCAGTAATAAATATTTGAAATTAGCTTATTCTATTCAATTGTACTGTGCAATATGTGATAAAATGCTTAAAATAAGAACTTCATATCAGAAATTAAAATTATAAAATTTGCAGAAAATTCATAAATTCGCAATTGAGTGTTGTAAAGTCAGATTTTTAAATAATGTTGTTTTGAATTAGTATTACTATTTTAAGAGATTCAGTATACAAAATAAATGTCACAAATGAAAAATTTTCAATTTTTTGTTCTATACTCTATAGAAAAAAATAGATAAAATTCTTTAAATTTTATACTTTTTTGATTTTTTTCCTTATTTGAAATTAAAATTCCAATCTAAACACACAGTTTTTTAGTTTAGCATAGTTAATTGTTTTTGTTTTAACAACTAGAATTGAACAGTGCATAACTAAAACACTAAGTTACATTTTCCTTCTTCCGACTAAACACATATGAATTTTTAAAAAAATAGTGCGTGGAGTCCCTCCGCGTGGAAGAAGTTAAACTTCGTAAGCTGCGACTTTAATTGTAGAAGAATCAGCAGTCATAGAAGGATCACTAGTTATATTCAACGACTCTTTTTCCTGCTCCGCTCGTCCTGCTTCCTGATCTGTAATAACGGTAATATTGTGCATTTTTCCCTCCTGGACCTCTTGAACCAGTGGAAGTGCTTGTGGTTGCCTCATCGTCTCGCCATGGAAAATGTATTTGTATTAATAATGTATGTGAATGCATCATAATGTAAATTCAAATGAGAAAACCTAACAATCAATTGATATTCACATGAGACGTACCTTGGCATAACCTTAAATCCGTCGCATTGTCCGTGGGATTGTTTTCGCTCATTTTTTACAATTGTTATCCACTAAATTTGAAAATAAAAAATACTATCCTATTAAATTATATGTGTATCAAATCAAACTAAAAAAATATTTATAGAAAAATAATACTTTTATTACTTTTATGCTAGTGAGAACCAAAACAATATGGAAATGAATGATGGAAAACTGGATCCAACCACGTGATTTTCCGGCCAATAAAAATGTAACGTTAAATGTTTAACGCAACCTTGTTGAAAGTCGCATAAGAAGTATAACTTCAAAAAAAATCCTATTTAATGTTTATACATCATTTAATATGTTTCCTATATATTCCCTAGTCTTTGTCAGCTTTTTAGGGAAAAAGGAGGCATAGTTTTGGAAATATCATCCCTGGAATGCAAGCAACATTTACGAACTTTTGATATAGTGATAACTATGCAATTCCAATTTTGAATTAAAAGTCAAATATTTACCAACAAAACAATAAAATTAAATATTAATATATAGTTAGTTCTTCTTTTTAAATTAAAATATGTTATAAAAGGTTAAAATGAAACAGAAAAAACTAGCAGTAATGCAACAATTTGTCAACAAACATTGCTGTTCAGAGATTGTAAAGAAATGTGTGATTAGTTAGTTTGCTGAGAAAAAACAATTTACAGATTTCTTTGAATGGGAACACAAAAGCTTTCATAAAAAGAGTACATTTTAAAATCTATTATTATTAAATTATAACCAATTAATTTTTGGAGAATTTTATTAAGTTAAAAATACAAAAATATTTAGACTCATTCTGTCAAAATAGAAAAAAACTACCATCAAAGCATCGGAACAAATTTGAGTCATAAATGGATTCACCCCATGGACAGAATTTTAAAACAGATGCAAATATCCTAACTATGTTTAGCACAATCTTTGCCTTTCTTAAATTACAGTCCCATAGTCTCCATAGAGATCAAAAACTCCTACATTTGTTTAGAAACTATGAGAGAATTTTATGTGACATTCTAGTTTAACAGGGTTATAATAGAGCGATCTTGATGCAAGCAAAGTATAGCTAAGTTGATAACATTTTAACTGTTTGGAGATATATTTCCATCTAAAAAATGTGGGTATAATGGATGAAATAATTTAAATTAAGAAAAATAGTAAATAATTTAAATTAGTGAAATTAAAAAAAAAATCTAAGAAAAAATTTCCAGCTTTTCTTTAGAATTCCCTGATTTTTCCAGGTTTTTATCCAAATTTCCTTGATTTTTAACGGTTTTTTCCAGTATAAAAAAATTCCCAGATAATTCCAGGTGGATGGCCACCCTGTTATACTAAGTGGTGAGTCAAATTTCAGGAGTCTGACTAGGGTAAATTAACAACCATTTAGCGGCACCTTCAAAAATTCAACTTTAAAAAAAAAAGGTAGTTTCACAAAGTATTTTTAAAAAAGCAAGTTCTCATGCAAACCTCATTCCCGTTGCAATCCATGGAAAATAGGAGCTTTTCTGCCAGCTGTCTTATACAAAAAAGGTAGCACGTGTTTGGTCAGATAGTGCAATGTGGTAAGCTTAACTGATCACTTACGCCATATCAAAGCGAGTTTTTTTAAATGAAACGACGAGGCTCACCCTCGATAAACTTTACAGGAAGTCGAAATTCAAACATTTTCTTAAACACTATTATAAATTCATTCTAACAGACCTTTATTTTTTTATGAAGCACTTTTTTTCCCCTGTGAAACTTCTTTCTGTAAGACCCAGTTGAAAATGTTCTCATAATTAAAATAACTTGTACTGCTAGTACTGTTAAATGCATGTTTTTAATTAAATTCAAGTTAAAATTTAACTATGGACAATAATTTTTTATGAATTTTGAAATTTGGATAGTATTTTTAGCCCAAAATTTTTCTATAATAGCAAAATTGTTTTTTAATGTATGGGGAAAAATACATTTATTAGTCATAAATGATTTTTATTTGTAGTGACAAATTTTTTAAATATTTTCATACTTTACTATATTTTTGTGTGTATTTTTTAATATAATTTTTAATTTTCACAAACTATGTTTAAATTTTCACCAAAAAAGTACCTCCTGTTGAGGATTTATAATACCAGATGGCGCTGAGCGCAAACAATTTGTTTTATTATTTTTTTCTGCACTTCTTAAGTTTCAGTTTAGATTCAACCCACTGAACCACAATGAAATAAAATCCTTTTAATCATTACTATTTGTGTAATTATTGTTTAATTCGAGTTACCTCCTAAACAAATCCCCATATTTATATACTACACACATAATACACTATGTTCAGCAGTTTAACAAAATAATAGAAACACTTCTATACTAGCTCATTTTTTTCATATTTCTCAAAAAATACTTAGAGAAATATTTTAAAGGTTTAGAAGTGTTTAGATCAAAAGATTAGTCACATATATCAATAAAGTTCAAGGCTTTTACAGGTTTCAGGGATCTTCCCTGTGGAAGAATTCTTTCGGGCTGACAAATATCCCAGCACTAACATTTTGCTTTAAGATACTTTTAATTATAACAATAACTAATTTAAATTAATGTTTAGGTTTACAGAAGAAAGTATAGAATAAAAATGTATAAAAATTTTATTTGTGAAAGTAATCTTTTTTTAATTCTAATATACTAAAAATGCACTAATTATTTCCTCTTTCGAATTTTGTAAATCATAATTACACAAATCAAAATTCGTAAATAAATTAAAAATCTCAAAATCCATGCAGTAACTCCCAAAATAAAGATTGACAACGAAATTACGCGAATAGGACTCTTTAAAAAAGAGATGTATGTAAAATATGGTGTTCTTTAAAGAACAAAAAATGAAAGAAAGAACATCATTTCTAGAGAAAACTATCTTTTAAACTTTCGCTATTTCAGAATTTTTTGATTTATATCATTAATTTGAAATTATAGCTAAACCCAGACATTACCGATTTTTTTTAAAAAAACCTCAAGCGAGAATAAAAAAAATAATTTCTTTCCTCTGATGTACAAGAAAAACATCTTTGAAAAAAAATTCTGCAGTAAAAAAAAGAGAGAGAAAAAAAAACATTTTTTGCAAAATTATGCAGTAAAGTTTTCTTTTAACAAATGAAAAATCTTTCTGCAAAAACTCTAACATTCTGAGACAATGTGTTGCCTCAATTCTGGTATGGGGGGATCAGCAATAAATTATAAATAAAAAAAATGTTTTAGAACATCCTATGACTAGAGCAATAGGTGACTTAAATCAATTATTTTGGTTATGATATGCAATAACAGCACAAATTTACATAAAAATTTCCTTTCTAGCTTAAATACACATGAAAATATGTACATATTAATAAAAAAAATATTTATTTGCCTTTCCTTTTCTTACTATAACTGCAGAAATACTCAATAAAATCAAAAAAATATTTTAGTATAACATTAGAAAATAAAAATAACCCTATAAAGGATTAAATGAAGAGAAACCTACAATATATTCATCCATCCACACATGAGCCACTCTCAGAGAATTATAAGTTAAAGTATCCTCCCCAGCAGGAGAGCCGTAAGGTCTTCTACGTCGGAACACATGGCCGACACGAGAACATGGAATAATCTGCAGGCTTCCACCACACATCCAAATCTAAAATTTAAATTTTGTTTTATTATCAGGAAGATCTACTCAAACAGGAAGACACAGTATTCGTGAAGAGGATTGACAGAACATTTAATTTGAAAGATTAACAGCATATAAAATTTGTATATCATTATATATGCTATTAGTGTAAAACTTGATACCATGACTCAGTTTGATACAATAGCACATTATGAACAGAGTAGAGAGGCTTTTGATTAGTAAAAATCTTTGTTTAGAGCTATAAATAGATTGCCTACCTACCAATCAAAACAAAAATCTAAACCTGATGGTGATTGAGTGTTTTTTATTTTATTAGATCTATATTTTTAATTAATAATGTAGAAATAATATACAAAGTTCTCAATCTACAAAACTTTTGTCCGTACGCTTCTAAAGTTTGGGCAATGACAAAACTGGAGGAAAATTGTATCACAATATTGGTGGTGTAAATGAAAACAATAACTGGAGAGGGAGGTTGAACTTTGAACTGTACAAGATTTATAAACAACTCGATATCATTAAAAACATAAAAATAAATAGAATCAATTGCATGGCCCACGTGATTCAAATGAGTGATGACAATGCAATAAAAAAGATGTGGCTCTTTAAACCCAGTGGAACAAGAAAGCGGGGAAGGTCAAGGTTGAGATGGGCAGACTCGGTGGAATCTAATTTTCTTGCAATTAATGAAAAGAATTAGAGATGAAAGATAAATCGGAAGTCATTATGGAGATATCTTCAGAGGAAGGCATGGGCTCACGTTGGGCTGTCTGGCCAACTACGAGGATGATGTCAAAATAATATTAGAAGCAAAAGGAAAATTTGTGCTCCCAAGTTTCATTATAACTTAATGTAGACTAAAGGTTATGTTACTACTCCCTTAAAAAATTTTTAGAGTGTGAAAATATAAAGAAAAATAAAGAAAATGCATAAAATATTACAAGTACAGCAAAAGAAATCAATGAATACAGCAGAAATAAAATACAGTTATTAAAGACAATTATTACAAAAAAAGCAAAGAATATATTATCACATGTGTGAATTGACACATATCAATTGGCAAGTATCAATTTTACAATTTTTGTTTTTTCAACCCATTGGCGGTTTAGCAAATGGGCAAAAGTGGTAAAATGTTTCTCCCCAATACACTATTTCTCTAACTAATAGCATAGATTAACCAGTTTTGCTATGCGAAGAATATTACAGATTAAAGTATGACTTTTTAAGTGCATAACTGTCAGTGGGTAAAGTATAAGCAAGATTTTAAAGTTTGCATTGAAGAAGTTCAAAAAGATTAAATAAACTCTTAAAAAGCTAAATTAATTCTATAGGTTTAAAAAACGGAAATCTTTTGATTTTATCAAAAGTTATTTAGATAAATATTTTATGTTCTTAGAAATTATTAAGATTGTCACAAAATAAATTTCTTAAAAAGATGATACAACAATGATATCAATACTTTCCTGGAATTCAATGAAAATCTTAATTGACTATAAGTGGAGTCAGAGTCAAACATTTCAAGTTCTGGTTATAAGTAACCATTAATTGACAATCAGTCGACTTTTTTTTCTGTTAAAAGGTGTCAGAGTTATATTGTTTTTTTATTAAAAAATTCCGTAATTTTAATTATGGTAATACTGGTAAATAAAGTAATAGTGGTTAATTGTGACTTAAATATTTATCTATGAGTTAATTATTATTAATAAATAAAAATATTACAACTTTTTGCTGTATTCTGTATTCAAATAAAAAAATGCCTACTATAAATGAAATATAATAACCTGGACCATATCTAGTACAGATGAGGTTATGTTACGTACCTTTGAGAGAAAGGTCTTGAGTAGTATGTTTGGAGGAATTCAAAAAAATAATGTGTGGCTTAGAAGAACAAATTTAAAGCTTTGTCACTTACATAATGAACCTGATATTATTAACTTTATTATACGACAAAGAATAAAAAGGGCAGGCCACGTTATCAGAATGGACGAAGACCATACCACAAAAAGAGTTTTCATTGCCAGACCAGTTGGCACATGAAAGAGAGGCAGGCCAATTTTGAGATAGATAGATGGCCTAGAAAAAGACCTTTTGGTCTTAAAAACTAAAAACTGGAAAACACTAACAGAAAAAAGGTTAGCATGGAAAAAACTTCTTAAGAAGGCCAAGGCCCACCCTGGGCTGTCGAGTCATTGATGATGATGATGATGACTATAAATGAAAATAGCAGCTTTTTTTATTCAATATATGGATAAAAAAGAATATCATAAAGAAAGACTTGATCATTTAAATTTAGATTTAATTATTTTATTACTTTATTCCTTAGGGATAATAATTACAAAGATAAATACAACAATTAATAATTATTATTGACATATAACAAGGTAATAAAGAGAAAAAAATTCTATAATTATAAAGAGAAAACATAGTCTCTAAATATTGTTACAAATGTGATCAGTCCATAACTAAAGAAACAATTTGCAATATACTGATTACCCTGAATGATATTTCCAGATTTTCTCCACCCCAAATGTCCATTCCTTGATCGTATTCACCAAGGGTGTGAAAATAGCTTTTATCAATGGCAAACAAACCACCTGCCATAGTAGGAGATCTAACATGAAACAGAATAAAGGGCTGGATCAAAAAAAATGGAATGTAATTTAGCAATAATAATAAAATTAAAAGTTAAGAAACATACAGTTATTTCAATGCCATAAACGAGCACAAACATGGGTATATTACAAATGCCTCTTATTTATAGCATCACAAAAGATGCATGTTTTCAATTTATATTTCTACAATTCATTTCATTTAACAAAATAAGACTAAGTAATTTACCATAAAGCAGGACTATCAGAAGAGCAATTAATAAAAAAATAATAGTTTTAATAGCCTAGTTTTAGTAGTTTACAATAAATATATTCAATGCATAATTTTTAAAAGCATGCAGTGATAAGTATTTAAAAACAAGTAATAAAAAACATAATTGTAGAGGCTGTTGGTTGCGACAGCTGAGATAGCATGAAAACCGAGGTAGAAGGATCGAGTATTGGATCAAAGACCGAAGGTAGGAGGACGAACCGAAATAGTTCCTGCGCGGATTAATACCGGCGGAGGAGCATCAGCCGATGGCCAAGGCAGGGAGTGAAAAGGCTGATGTCCAGTACTTAAGGAGATGACAGTTTGCTTTCAAAGAGGTTGTTGTGCAGCGTCCGAGACTTCGTCCCGATATCCCGTTTTTACCCGGTGCCGCCCACCTGCAGTATGAGATATTTGCAATCAAAAGTTTAAGTTTTAATTGTTCTTTTAATAACAATTTTTAATGTTTTTTAAAGAATAACTTGTTAATTGGAGTTTGTGAAGTTTCCTGATGGTTTGTTATCTTTTACTATTAAAGAGGATGTTTCATTGCCATATTGTTTCATTTGAAAGTCTTACATTACCATCACCGAAACTTATACAATAATAAAATTGAAAAATATATTTATCTTAATTTGAAGATAAATCTTATTAAAATCTTTATCAAAAGTCACCAGTCCAAGTTTTCAGTTCTTTAAATAAGCAAGACTAACTATTAGTGATCAAAATGGGTGACATAGAGCAGAATCCTTTACCTATGCTTTCACCATTAGCGTATGGAGAATCATAGAAGGTCTTGATTTTCAAACAGATGAAAAACTTTTAATTTAGGAACTGAAAATTAAATTGTTCCAAAAGAAAGCATGGTAGAAATTTTAAAAAAATATTTGTGACAATTAAATACGAAAAATATTAAGAAACGGCGACACATTGTAGTACAACTGCTAAAAGGGAGGGTCAATCCATGGAATCTTCCCAGATGGCGTATTTCGAGTGTTGCAATCAAGAATTACTGTGAAACCAGATATGAAACTTTTTAATGTATTTTATCTACTATTATATTTCAGAAATATCAGTAACAAATAAAAACATAATGCTTGATTCACTATTGAAATTTTTTTTAAATACTTTATATACAGGGCATCTGCCCATCTGGAAAATCATGAGAAATCATGGAAAGTTATGAATTTGAAAATCTAAAATGTAGTAGATATTCTGTATATAATACTCTAAATTCAAAACAATTTAACTACACTGAATTACAACACTTTCTTCTAAAAAAATATGTGAATTAGTGACATAAAGCTTACTCGATGGGTTTAATGAAGTCTTCTTTTTTACTCAGCTGATTGGAATGTACAGAGTCCCACTTAAAATGCAAACCCCAATTAAAACCGCCACGTACAATGGGAGAAGAAACATACTCAAAGGTATCAGCATTGATGATATCGATGATGGGACAAACAACCGTTGTGCGATTTTCTTGAATGCGCTGCAGGAGAGGTTCTAACCATACTTCATTCACCTCACAATGACTGTCTAGAAACACCAAAACCTGTTTTAATGAAATAACACAGATCATAATTGAGACACCAAAAACAAAGAAATAACACAATCGGAGATCGTAACTGAGACACATAGAAACAAAACATTACCAAAGAAGTACTACAGTTATTTGCAAAATTGAGAGCATATTTTGTCAGAGAAATTCAAGTCATACAGAACTGATTAAAAATAAAAGAATTATTCATAAGAAAATAGTATAAATCAAATATTCAAAGATTAATTTGCTAACTGGGTTTTTTTTAATTGTTATTTCTTAATTATTTCTTCAATTATGATTTCAATATATTTATAAAAACAAGGGTTTGAATGAATGTATGCAAAAATAATTTAAAAACTTTTCTGCAGTTTTCAACTCTATAGCTATAGAAAGCAATAACTGTAGTAGATTTTAAAAAATGCGTGACAAATTTTTTTATACAATTTTTATAATTAAGATTAAATATTAATATAGCAGAGAGGGATTCTTTAAAAATTCCACCTAAATTTTTTATTCTTATTTATAACATTAATCTTCCTAATTTATATTAGTATTTTTTTACTATTCCGAGGAATATTATAACAATGCTAAAAAAATATGAACCATCTTTGACATCAATGTGTACCAGAATGGATATAACTTAGCAGTTTCTGTGAGAATTTTTTTTTTCTTTTCAATATGCTTTTATTACAGATAATATATAAAAATATATATATAATCTGATGTTATTGTACTTTAGTATTTCCTTTTCACTGCAATGTTTAATAATATTTTTTCTGAACAATAAAATTTGTAGTTATTAACAGATTAGAAAAGTCAACTATCATCAGAAACATTTAAGGAAATATGAATGAAAAATTGTAGTTAGGTTTATTCTTATTTTGTTTGGCGAAGATTCATTTATCAGTTTACATAATATCAATAATGTAAATTTATATTTACATCAAGCGAAGAATTACATCTTAAGTCATTCATATTAAAGAAAAAGTTTACTCAAACTTGATCAAACTACTACACAAGTACTAATTTGCATAATCAAATAAAAATATATTTCTTAACTACTTTTTAACATTATTGGTATTATAAACAGAAATTAATGTTTTATTTTCCAGGCATGAATAAATAAATAAAATATATAATAAATTAGGCAGATGGCTTATTAGGACAAAAGAAGAAATAAAAACTTTCATTTTTTATTTTTATACCTTTAAATGTTTTTATTCTTTTTTTTTCTTTTAACAGATTAGAAAAGTCAACTATCATCAGAAACATTTAAGGAAATATGAATGAAAAATTGTAGTTAGGTTCATTCTTATTTTGTTTGGCGAAGATTCATTTATCAGTTTACATAATATCAATAATGCAAATTTATATTTACATCAAGCGAAGAATTACATCTTAAGTCATTCATATTAAAGAAAAAGTTTACTCAAACTTGATCAAACTACTACACAAGTACTAATTTGCATAATCAAATAAAAATATATTTCTTAACTACTTTTTAACATTATTAGTATTATAAACAGAAATTAATGTTTTATTTTCCAGGCATGAATAAATAAAAAAAATATATAATAAATTAGGCAGATGGCTTATTAGGACAAAAGAAGAAATAAAAACTTTCATTTTTTATTTTTATACCTTTAAATGTTTTTATTCTTTTTTTTTCCTTTCTTTTTAAATAAAAATGGACAAAAACTGGTTAAACTTTGCTATTCATACCCATTAACCCTTAAAAAAAATTTGCTTTCAAAAAACAATGTTACTATTGATAATGAGCAAAAATTACAAAGTAATGAGTTACACCAATATTATAAGTTATAACTTAAATTTTGTTGAAAGAAAGAACATTGTCAAACATGTTGTTTCAATTTAAATTGTAAAATTTATTAGCAGAATTTTCAATACATGTAAGTTAATACTTTTTAATTTTATCATAATTTTTAATCTCATAGATCTTTGATTGTTTTTTTAATTGCAAGATTTTTTATTATAATTTATTACTATTATTTTTTTGTTCATCTATAACAGTGTTTCTCAACGGGGGCGATAACGCCCCCCTGGGGGCGTTGGGAGTATGTTGAGGGGCGGTGGACTTGTTTTGGGCGGCAGGGGGGCGTTAGGTATGCTTTGGGCGATAGGGGGGCGATGAGCAGGTTATGTTATTCAAATTTAATTTTATTACTCCCAAATAAAATTATTAAATTAAGAATCATTTAGTAAATAAAATAAATCTAAAATTAATGATAAAGAAAAAAAAGATTAAATTAATATAATAAATTTAGATTATCTGATACAACATTAGTACCAGCAGTAAAACGAACTTATGCAACACATATTCTCCGATCCGAATCAGCACAGCACAGCGCATGAGTCAGTAGTTTTTGCCTCTGACTCATTCAAGCCATTTGGTGAGAATTAAAGTGCATGCACTTTTTGTAAAAATGTTCGATTTGACCCGTGTTTCTTATGATGGTTTAGTTTGCTTCCTAGCAGTTTTTTACCCAGTTTCGATTCGATTTCATTGTTTATTTGGCCAGGTACGTTTGTGAATTAGTTCTTAATCGTAAATTATTTATTAATTTGAAAAAACAGTTGATTTTCTTTCATTCGTATTTTGCTGCCACCAACAATGTCGGTTAACATAAAGAAGTGTATTCAATACAGTGTCACGTACTTGAAGTTTAGATTTGTTCAATCGCCCTCGAACTCTCAACTACCCATGAATTTATTTTATAACAAAGTTTAATATAATGAGACAATGGAGCCTTCCCGTTAGCAGAAGCATTTGCAAAATATTCATTCTCACAAACAAAATAAAGATTTGTCATTTTTCACGAACATCAAAGACAAGTTTCTGAAGGCACCTTTGGCCTCTGGCTTACTAACAACCTAATCACAAAAATGCGATGATGGTTTGATAAGTTCTTATAATATATCAAAATTAATTGCTAAATCTGGGAAATGTCATACCATCGGCAAAGAATTGATACTGCCGCTGTTAAGGAAGTTTTAGGAACAGTTTTACACTATCCAGCCTCATCCGATTTAATCAAAAATATCCCTTGCAATAGTGGGTCGACATGGTGGGTTTTTCGCCGTTTTGAAGAGGGTGGTACCAGATATTTTAGCAGTTCACTGCGTGATTCACAGACAGTATTTAGTAAGAAAAAATCTCAGCGACCGTTTGCATCAGTCATTGCAATATGTCATATCTGCTGCGAACAAAATTCGCAGTAATGTTCTCAACGATTGATTACTCAGACAGCTGTTTAAGAAAAACTATGAAGAATATCGCTTGCTACTACACCGTGATTCGCTGGCTTTCCAAAGGAGCCTTGTCTCAATGGGTTTTTGAATCTTTTCGACTCTGTGCTTGAGTTCCTCGAAGACAGAATGTAGCTCTGAGAGACAGATTGCTAGAATTTAAGATAGACGTTGGTGGATTTATTCGTAAAATTTAATGGCGTTAATTTGCAACTTCAAGGTGACAAACTCACTTTGATCCCTACGAAATCAGTTATTTCTACATTTCTAAAAAAACTAATTTTTTGGAAGCAGAAATTTGGTAGGAATGAGATCAACCAATTTCAAATCTTATCGTATCTTGAAAAGAATGGCGAAATTTCCTCTGATGATACACAAGAATATAGTTAACACCTTGACTCTTTGCACATGGACTTTTCTGACTGTTATAAATGTGTTTTGTTCTGTTTCCTTTAATGGGTTATTAACCCTTTTTTGAATATTGAAACAGAAGAAGTTCAGATTCAGGAGGAATCGGGCAAACTTTCAACTAATGAAGCTTTGAACTGGTGATAACTCACAGAATTTTGGCTTCAAGGTAACACCAGTCGCCTCTACTCTGGACTGTCAAAATTCTTTTGTCGAAATTCATTCTTATTTTCAAAATTATTTTTAATTTTCTTCCCTTTCTCCTACTTCGTCGAATGTGGATTCAGTGCTGTTATGGATCAAGTCACAAAAAAGAGAAATGGATTTGAAATCATGCAACGAGGGGACTTGCGTCTTCACCTCAGTTAAAATATTGAACCAAACGTTAAGAAATTGGCTATGAACCATCAAGTACAATCATTCCACTGACATAGTAACTTGATTGCTTCGTTAATACTACTTTTATTCTTGGGTGTTTTTTTAATTATCTAATTAAGAACAAGTGACTCTAACAAGTGTCTAGTCTAACATGACTAGAACAAGTGACGTGAAAAAAAAAGTTCAACAAAGAAAACTATGCTTAAAGCATAGTTTTCTTTCTTGAACTTTTTTTTTCATTACCGTATTTATTTTTATTATGACAAATAGACTGCGATTACCTGCCGGGAGAAAATTATAGAGTTAACGTACACATTAAATTTAAAAATTAAAAAAAACATGCAAATTTAACGCTTAAAAAATTGCCTAAAAATGCATCTTATAATTCAGCANGCCCCCCCCCCCCCGTCCTTAATGCTCTAAATAACTGGATTATCACAAAGGGGGGCGTTGATATGTTTTCTGCTTATTAAGGGGGCGGCAACGTTAAAAAGGTTGAGAATCTATGATCTATAAGATAAAACCATTTTGTTATCTTAAATTAATAAAAAGTTAAGCGATATTTTGAAGTTTTAAAAGTAGTGTTTTTTTTATGTAATATAACAATAGCATTATTAATATTATTACTTATTATTTTTTTCAAGTGTGTTTTTTCCTTCAAACAATTTTAAAAAATTACTTTTGTTTGCTTTTTTATTCCTTTATTCTTAAAAAATTTCTTACTATGTATTCATGTAAGTAAAATATTTTGATAGAATTTTATTATTTTAAACCAATCAATATCAAGCTGTTTTTATTTAAATAAAAAAACTAAAACAAAACTTATGCTTATTTTTACTTTTAGAATTCAGCGTTAAGATTTGGTGTTCGACTTTTTGATTATAAAAAATTAATTAAAAAAATTAAAAATAAAAATTTATTTTAAAAAAAAAGCATTTTTTAAAATTAAGATTATTTTAATTTATTATCCGATTGTTTGATTTTGATTCAAAAGAATCAATATTTGGGGGTATGTTTTATCACAAAACATCCTTATGTTCCGATCAGGGTGTGTAGCCAGATTTTTCAACAAAAAATAAGCACCTTTTAAGCACTTTTTAAGTACTCCAAAAATATTTTTAATCACTTTCTTAAAAAAAGCATAATTAGGATCTGTGCAGTAATAACAATTATTTCCTTCTATCGTTTGAAGTTCTTAATTTATAAACATAAAATCAATAAAATTCAAAACATTTTCAAAGACTTTACATAGTCATGATAAAATAACTATTTTCAGACAAATATTGCAGAGAAAATTGTGTAAATCAAGCACTTTTTACATACAATAAATAAGAAAAGCATATTTAAGAGCATTTTAAAAAACGTCAATCAAAAATAAGCACTATAATATAAAATTTCTTACATCACCTAGTCCTACTTCACATTAACTATAATCAATGATTAATTAGGTAAACAATTTTAAAACAAGGTCAGATAAAAACTATAGTTCCACACTTCCAAGAAATCTTTAACTATATTATGGAGAAGAAAAAAAGAATCAGTAAAATTTAGGTATATTTCTTTACTGCCAAACCACTGCTATTTCAGAAAATGTTTGTCATACAATAACAACTAGATTAGACAAAAGCAAAATTTGTACATTTTTAAAAAAAATTTTAGAGAACATTCTGATATAAAAATGATGTTGATGTAGTCGTGAGTTTTCGAGTTAAAGAGCAATCAGCTACTTGAAAGTGAAAATTATTAGAGCCACATTACTCAGTTTAGTGAATATCAGCAAAAATATTGCATTTTTTTTTTTTTTTTTTTTGCAGCCACGTACTCTTTACGTTTGTAAACACACCACCCAACATTGGCCAAGCACGTAGTTACGTTTTTCATAGAGACTCTATCTTTTACAGAGCATGGTGATTCTGAAACTAAGCAAAACATCTCTTTGAATTAGTTTCAGAGTTAAATAGAATATTTTGCAGATGTTTCAATGTAAAGGAAAAATGAACAGTAAAATTATAATTTTTGGGTTTTTCAAGAAAGTTGCATGCAACTTACCTCACCAGTAGAATGTTGTGCTCCAAAAACTCTAGCTCGCATCAGACCAGCTCTTCTCTGAATTCTAAGAAGCTTCACTTTTTGGCTATCAATATTATTGTGTAAATATTGTTTCAACTCCTCCCTGAACTTTTCTAAAATAATATAAAAGAAATTTTTTAAAAAAGAATAAGACTTTAAGTGTTTTTTTTTTTTTTAAATTAACAAGAGTTGTTCACATTTTTTTTATTACAATTAAGTAATTTGTTAGGGTACAAATAACATGTTTGTGGCAAGTATCTACACACATCCTCCATAGCTCTCTATTGCTTTTTTTAGAATACATCAATTACTTGTTAAGAATACCTATTAACTAAAGATTTCTTACAGCTAAATTATTAATAAAATCATGACTTTAATTGCACCATCTAGGTATTTATTTGAAATAATCAAACACATCAATATTTTGTAATTTCAGCTCCTTACCATATGAAATTTGTATTTAACTACTATCTAAGATAAAACAATAATTTTTTGAATTTAAGAAAATGCATGTCAAATTATTAAGTTAATGAATAGATTGGATTTTTAAGTAATATTTATAGAAATCACAGGGGCACAAAACAATTTATAGGAAGATAAAGATGCAGTTTAATGCTAAAAAGATTTGTTTTGACAAACAATTTTAATAATATAAATGCTCTTATAACAAGTATCACAAGTTGAGATAGTACAAAAAAATTTTTTCTCTATTCAATGCTAATCTTATCTACAGTTTGTTTATGAACCTTAAATATCCATAATCTTGTCAGCGGCCACCCGAAGGTGTTGACCTATGCTCTAGAACATTTTAAAGCTAATTTTCAATGAGGAATAGTTATTTTCAAAAATTCCTTCAATTTCATTAAAAACCAAAACACGATAACAAATCTAAAAAACACAAAATTAAAAAAATAATATCACAAAGCCAATAACAGGAGAGATACGTATGCTTAACGCTATCACTACACTAAATGGTTAAGTTAGAAATGTTGTTCCATTGGTGTTAAAAAGTATTTATTCATTCCCTTAAATGCACACATTAACAGGACAATGGGAAACCCAAAATTGATTTGAAGGTCTTCTTCTGGGTCAACCTGTAATTTATAATCTAAACTTAGACCTGGAGATTTTTAAGGTATCTTTTACATTGCATTTCATATAGCGATGAATATTTTAGACATCTGTATAAAAATGAATAAATAAAACTTAACTCATTGTGCTGATAAGCAGTGTTATTATTCAAAACATGAAAGGTAACAACTTTGTTATCATAATGTTATTTATCACAAGTTTATACTCTCCTTAAAAAAAAAAAAAATTTGTCTTTTTAATTTGCTTTACTTTTGCCTTTTAACTCTAATTTCTTGCATTTGGGTTTCTGTCTTAACTTCATTAACTTTAATTTTCTTAAACTTGTTCTTAATCTATGAAATTTACTATGTATATATTTAAAAACTGCATATTCTATTATTAATTATTAACGGATTATTATTATCTTTTAATTATTATTATTATCTTTATTATCTTCAGGTTATCAAAGCTTTTACTACCACTGTTTGGCCAATTTAAATGTAACTTAAGAATTAATATGCAACTTTGTAAAAGATGATTTGATCATTAATTTGTTTTCCATCCCTCATAAATTCTTGTGGGTTTATCTTTCCACATCCTCAATCTGTCTTTGTTATTTGTCTCAAATTTCACATGTTTAAGAAAATCAATTATCTCACCACATTATTGATGATTAATTACTTAATTCTTCTAAGTCATGATAAATTTAATCTTTATTTATATAATTCCCAGTACATATTTTATGCAATTAAAACTTTAAGATTTGTAGTTCACAATTTTTATTTCAAAAGAAATATTTGGCTAGTAGCAAAAAAAATAGAAAAACTATGCCTTGAATAAACAAGTAGTTTTAAAAATATTAACTGTTGTATAAGCTTTTAATATAACTTATTAATTAAATATTAATTAACAATATTTTTAATTTATAAAGTCAGAAAAACAACTTTAGCAGAAAACTTGTTTTTCTGAAACTAACTTTTGTTGTTTTCTGCTAAAATTGTTTTTCCGACTTTATAAATTAAAACAAAACAAATTTGGATTTAGCTGCTTTTTAAGCACTTTTCTGTTTTGATTTATTATTTTAGATGTTACTCACTTATTTTGTCTTTTTCTGAATTTGTAAATTAGTTTCATTCCTTGATATTAAACAATATTTCAAAATCATGTAAAAAAATCTATCATGCAAGTTGAAAAACTAATTGACACACACAAACTCTAAAGATTGCAAGAGCAACACAAAAATAAAAAATTATTACAAATACATAAAACGATATCATATATGTACATAAAATATATCAATTAGTGTTATGAAAATGTACAGTAAATTTAAAATGGTATCTGTTTTATTTTTGATTTCTCCGTTCCATTTTGTGCTATCTATTTTATTTTTGAAAAAAATATAATTTAGGGAGAGTTAAGTGAGTCTGATAAATGACATTATTTGAAATTATCATAAAGAGTGACTCAAGATTTTCAAAATAACCAAAAAAAAGACAATACTTGAACAGCCTAAAAAACCTTGGACTAATAAAGCTTGAAGCACAACAAAAACAAACATATAATTATACCATCATCACTAGAATCATCAACAAGAACAATTTCGTGCAACAAATGGCTGGGAGTTCTGTCAAGAATGGAGTAGACTGTTCGTAATAGGGTTGATCGAGCCTCGTTATAAAAACAAATAATGACACTAGCCTTAGGAAGATTTTCTTCATACACTTGACTTTTGCATCTGAAAAAATAAAGGCTACTAGTTAGACAATGAACTTAAATTAAAATATTTCATCAAATTGCAAAATAAAAGAAAAAGTAATACTTCAGATAAGAAATTATAATGAAACTTCTCAAAGAAGATTATATTTCTACACAGAATATTAGATAGAACTTAAAGTATGTGAAACACCACTCATCCAGGAATTTAAATTACACTCTGATGATAATGGAGTAAACATAAAGGTTTGCTGTCTATCTCCAACATTACCTACAACACTATTACTAACTTATTATGTCATGCACTACATTGCGTATAAGTTTTAAATATTTTATTTTTACTACTTTATTTATTTGCCCATCTGCTACTTCTAACAAAGGAAGAAAATAGATATAGCATTCCTCAAAATGAATGATTGGGATTTTACAGACATGCTTATTATCTGTGGCGTATCCTTTCATGTTAAACAATAAACAGCTTGAAAGCTTTATGTTAAACATTCAAACGACAACAACTGATTGCTAAATCATAGTACCCGACATGTGTTTCATGTAAAGCAATATAACACGTTAATCGGTTTTGCACTAATGAGGTTCAACAGTATAGTGTTCTAGGAAGTTTCAACAAATATTCAGTTTATTGATTTAAGAATAAAAACTAGTACATATAACTTAAAACATAGAATTATTTTCTAAAATGCAATACATAAATTTTTTAAGGTGTTTCAAGAAGCTTCAATAAATATTCAACAATCAATGGTTTAATATGAACGTGGGCAGGCGTGAAACTGACAAATAATAATTTTGTAAAAATTGCCAGCAAGCCTTATAATGCAGAAATACTGATATCCCCGAGGCAGAATTGTGGCGACACGGCAATGCAGAATGTTACAAATTTTTTCCTTTGGGAAGGGGAGATTTTTGGTTTTCCTTTCTGCATAATTTTTTTAAAAATGTTTTTTCTTCCACCGGAGAATTTTTTAAAGATGTCTTTCTTGCGCATCTAAGAGAAAAGAAAACATCGTCATTTTTTCTACTCTTGCTTGGGATTTAAAAAAAAAAGTCTTTAATGACTGGCTTCATCTAGAATTTAAAATTAATATATAAAATAAAAATTCAGAAATCGCAAAAGCTTAAAAGATAGTTTGCTCTAGAAATGATGTTCTTTCTTTCATTTTTTTCTTTGAAGAACATAATGTTTTCACACACTTATTTGAGTCTTTCTTATCACATCTTTTAAGAGTCCTATCTTTATTTTGGAGTTGTCGGCAATCTTTATTTTGGAGTTACTGCACAGATTTTACTTCAAATTAGTAATTGTCATAGTTAAAAGTATCTTAAAGAAAAATATTAATGCCAGGAGAATGTGTCGCAGTAAGCCCGAAAAAAATCTGCCACAAGGCTGATATAAAATCAAATTTTATGAACAAAAAAAAAGTTTACTTACAAGGAATGTTGTGTATAAGGTAGAAGTCTCTGGAATCCTAATCTATCACTGATTAAAAGATTAAATGCATGCCTTTTATAGCCCTGATCTTTTATGCGTTGGTCTTCAGGAGACGTGATCATGCCCAAATGTATGAGTTCTGTCGAATTTAAAAGCTTTTGAAGAGACTTCTTGGAATGGCGATCCTTGGCAGAATCATCAGAAAGATCATTTCCCTCAATCATATTAGTTTCTTGATCTATTAAATGTTGTTTGATTAAATTTGTTCTGATATTTGATTTATGGAGATTGATACCAACAGCAGAATCTAAAACTCGTGGTCTTAATTTCCATTTTGCAATTTCGTCTGGATGGCTTTCTAATGCATAGTTGTCTTCATTGAGCTTTGATTTCATGTACAAAATTACACTCCAAGTAATGGATGTTAGTATGATACCCAAAACGAAGGACTTATATCGCAATGATACCATAGCTGTTCAAATGATCCGCTAAAAATTGATATTCCTTACACTTTGAAGAACTAAATTTTCACATCTGTTCCAACAGTACAAAGTCATCATGCTGACTGTTGGCAATCTAAAAATTGAAGAAGAAAAAAATTTAGAACTTCTGTTTTTGTTACAGATTTTTATACTAAGAAATATTTTTTGAAAACACAAAAGATTCAAGCAAATTTAAAAAGGTTGGCAAAAAGTCTATTTTCATGAACAAAAAAAAAAAAATATTAAAAAAGCCCAATTTACAAGATTTTTTTTTTTTTTTAGGAAAATTTTAATTAAAAATAATAAAAAAAATTGCTTTGTTTTTCTTTTTTCTTTTTAAAGAAAAATATTTTTTTGTGTTGTAAAATTTCAAATTAATTTGAATTTAAAACTTAGAATATTCTATTCATATACCCCTAATTTAATTGAATTCAAATCTAAGTTTCAGGTTATCTATGAAGTTAATATTTTTTCCAGCTTTAAAATCATTTTCTATCAAAACTTTAAAAGGTATCACAATCATGCTATAATTATCAGATATGATAGTTTTCTCCCTAAGTATGTATTCTAGAAGGGTTGGCTCACTTTGCCTACCCTCCTTTTACAGAAATAACTGCATCCGCCCTTTTTTAAAAAATTTTGTCCTCTTTTTTTAGAAAATCTTTTTATTTTTATTTTAAAATAAGAAATTGCAATAATAGAAACCATGAACTCTAGATTAATATAACTAATTATTTTTAGGCTAAGTTAATATGCATAAAATATTTTTTTCTCATTTTTGTTTGACTATTATGAATTCTGTTTTGAAGGGCTGACTCTAATCTAGTAAATATAATTTATATAATTTGCAAGATTAGTGTCCTTCAAAACTGAAGGTGCCTATGTTTGTGAAAAAGCATCCCATCCTTTTTTATTTTTCGGGAGATCTCTGGATATGGTGCTATTAAATCTCCATAAAAATTGTATAAACTCTAATAAGATTAGGTTCAATGTTCAACTATCTTTTTAGAAACAAGTTTTTCACCCATAACAACAGCTTGGAAAGATGTTCAAAGTTAAAATGTGATATGAAACATCATTGTAGTATGGTACACTACATATTAATTAAAATCATTTGTTAATTCATTATAATAATGTAATAAACTAGCTTAAATAATTACGTAAGTTAAAATTGTAACTGTTAAATTTGAGATAAACTTTTGGTGTAATACAACTGACAAAATGTTATTTATGTGACAGCTTAATGATAATATGCAAATTTTAGTTAATTGTATGGTTTTTAATTTCTTCTTTTTACACTTGTAATTAATGTTATTTATTTGTCATTGTTCAATAATTCCTTGCAATATTTTCATGTAATCTTTAATATTTAAGTTTTAAGCTCAAGTATATATTTTTATAATCTTGGGAAAGTAATCTTTCTCTGTATTTATGTTCTTCCTTTAAAAGAAGATTCTTTCTATTGTTGCTTCACTGACAGCAAGATTTATGCCCAGTCAGCAAACCCCTTTGTTGGATTGAGAAGGAGTGACCTCAAGTCCGTTTTCCCACGTTTCGGCTAGCATCAAATGCAAGACGCTCTATTTGATCTCACAATGACGCCAAGAATGTTCCAGAACATTCTACAAAATTCTTTCCTAGGTGTGTCACAGCTTTTGACAACCCTGCTTCATGTTTGGCACAGAGCATAACAATTAACTTCGCCAGTTGGCCAATAATTGCAGCTCTGTGATTTGCCCCTCTGATCCTTCTCCATCCAACCAACGCGATATTCGTAAAATTATGATTTATTTGGCGAGGTTTTCTCGCCTGTCTTCCTCATGAAGAAACAGTTAGTTGTTACTTTTTCCCTTACAAATTTTTTGTGTTTTTTTGTGTTCGGCTTAGGCCGAGATTTTTGTTGGCTTGTTTGCCAAGTTTTAAGTTGTTCATGATGATAAAATTAAAATAAAAATGTGCATCCTTTTACCATATCTGTTCTGGTGAGTAATTTTGCTGTGTAAGTTGTTTTCTCTTCCTTTTGTTTTTCAGCATGTTCCTCTGTTGCACTTACCTAATCTTTTGCATCAATCACAATGTACCCACTTTCATCTTTTTCAGCCTTTACTCAATTAATCTCTAAATTTTGTTTAATCTTAAGTTGACTTAATGTTAGTCACCCCCTTTTTCTCCCATTCTTTTTTAGCCACACCACAATCATGATCAAAGTTCTTAGAAATGGTACTATATAAATCCATGCAACATTTACAATAAAATTTCAAGCTTAATTTTTATGTTCTTGAAATGACATAAACTTTGGAAAATGTGGTTTCCACCAAAACTTATTATTTAATTTTAATGATTGGCAAAGTAAGTATGATCCGAAAACTATGCATATTGTTGAATAAAAATACTGATTCAAGGCAAAATTTGAACAATTCAAAAAATAAGTTTCTTGTTGGAAATTATAATTGGTTCAAATTACATTTGGTATTCTAATTTTGTATGGTCAAAAAAAATTCGCACCAGAAAACTTTTATCATAAAAACTCAAAAATTTATTAGAAATTTGGCAAAAAAAATTTTCTATAGCAGTTACATTGAATCTTCCAATTTAAATAGGGGTAACATAATCTCTGTGGCAGAACTTTTTNAAATTCGCACCAGAAAACTTTTATCATAAAAACTCCAGGGGGTATTCTCCAGAAATTTGGCAAAAAAAATTTTCTATAGCAGTTACATTGAATCTTCCAATTTAAATAGGGGTAACATAATCTCTGTGGCAGAACTTTTTGAGCTATCTGCAACAAAACTCTCTAGCACTAACATATCTCTCTGCAAGATACTTTTAATAACAACAAACATATATGTTACTAATTTAAAATAACAAAAGCGCTGTGTTACAAAAAAAAATGTATAATTTAATAATTCGTGTTTACAAACAAAAACAACTATTAGAATTTTCTTTTAATACAGCATGTAATAATTTCTTATTTTAATATTATGTGAATATTCTCACATTTTGTTGAGGGAAAAACACACCAATTATTTCCTTCTTCGCATTTTGAAAATAATCATCACAATAAAAATCAAGAAATCCATTGCCGAAAAAAAGATTGACAACGAAATCACGTGAATCGAATTCCTCTAAAAGGGATTACTCGAATGAGTGTTTCGTTTCTAGATTAGGTTGCTGTAATAAATAATACAGTACAGAACCCGTTATCCGGAAATCAGAAAACCGGAAAACCAAAAAACCGGAACAAAATTCGATACATTTTCTCGCAATTTAAAAAAAAATTTTTTTTTCCTTATAAGATTTTAGGATTTTTCCTTCTTTTTTGGAAGATGTTTACCGTACCATCATTTCAAAAATAATCATTAGTGCATTACCTCATCGTTTTTTCTAATTTTTAAGATTATTTCCAATTTTTTTTTAGTTGGGTTTAACACTAAAAAAACGGCTTTTTGTAGCGATTCAGAAACCCGGAAAAATCAGTTATCCGGAATAGCGATAGTCCCAATCGTTCCGGATAATCGGTTCTCTACTGTATCAAATTTAAAAACTATGGAGAAATCAATACCAATAACTGCCAAAATTTCGATAGAATTATTGCCTTAAAAAGTAAATACTTAAATGCACGATTCGAATTTTTCATATTGTTTGAAATATATCAGGGTATTTAAAATCCATTTAATAAATATCAATAACTGCCCAAAATATGATCGAAACATTACATGGATTTACGATACAATCGACGTAAATTGAGTGCGCCAAAAAGTTATTATCTAAATGCATGATTCAAATAATACCTGTAAATTTCAGTAGAAAAGAAAACTAAATTTTTTTATTTCTCAAAAGATAAATGTTTCTGCAAGAACTCTGTAACGTTCTGCAACAATGTCGCCGGGATTCTGCCATAGAGAACATAGTAATGAAATTAGTTCACTTTTTTTTTCTCCAGAAATAGAGCTTGTTAGAGAATTTAAAGCTAGAGTTAAGATTAAGAATCAGTAAAGCTTAGCACCTAAGAAAAGTAAAATTAAATGCATTGAAATTGTTATTTAACTTACTTTGTGGAGATATCACCACATCAACTCAAAGATATTACCAAATCATGCTTATTCATGAACATTTAGGTTTGCTTAAAAATCTGCAATAATAAATAACAAAAAATTACATATTTAACATCAACAATGCACTCTTCAAATTACATTTATCAAATAAAATAATTAGTATTTTTAACAGAATAATTTTGTTTAAATATTTTTTATCAACTGTTTGCAAGTTTTCCTTCCTTTCCTAACAAAAATGAAATGCAATTTTTTAAAAGAAAATTTATAATTGCTGTAGAAATCACAAAATTTTACACTGAATAAAAACATTCAAGAAATAGCTAATAATAACCTTACAGCTTAAAGAAAAATAATCAAAGTAAAGAAATTAAAAAACTAGATAAGTTTCGCATTTTCTAAATAATATCTTAAAATTAATTTTAACATTCAATAAAACTATATGAGGGCACCAAAACAAAAGTCAAAAAAAAAAAAATTGACCATAATTTATACCACAAAATTTAAAGACAAATTTAGAATAACAAACTGTGTTAGGACATAAAATCACAACAAACATTTTACATTAACAGTTTTAAGCGTCATAATCTATATACACATATAATTAGGAAAAATGAAACTTATGTTTAGTCACATGCATTTAGGGACAAATAACAATAATTTATAGAATTTCATTTACAACTGCAAGCCTAAGAGCATAGAGTCAAAGGTAATACAAAGTAGTCAAAATAAAAGCAGTCCCCAGAAAACAAAAAGGTTATCACTGAAATCTATAAGTTAAAGCGTTAATATAAATAGGTACTTTGCGGCTAGCCACACACAAGTAAACTAGAGTTTTTTAGTTTATTTTATTCTTTACATTACAAAACAATAAGCGAAAATACAACATATAAAAAACATTTTCCTAAAACAAAATAAAAAATTTTAATTTATTTACCCTTAAATAATTGAAAAGGGAAAATTTTTACATTGTGATCTGCTACGCTAACTACAATTACCAAGGCCTCAATTGGATTGAAAACTTGCCAATTTTTATTTAAAAAAAATTAACTTTGCCAGGAGATGGCCATGAGTGTTACACCCTTTGAGATGATTCCCAGAAATGTTTTTTTAGTGTATCGCAGGGCACTGCGAGAGATCTCCAAGATTTGGTAATTATATCGGAGTAGATGCCAAAAACAATGCGGAAATCATTCCAGTGAAAAGTACCAATACATGTTTTAATATACTTTCTACTAAACTGATTAAAAGCACACGTGCAAAAAAAGCAATGTACAAGTAAATCCACCGTTAACAAGTGATACATCTGAAGACTTAAAATACTTGATTTAACATTAACTCGATTTAACATACTCCATTTAACATATTCTGCTGATCATTAGACCCGGCTTTTTCAAGCCTACGGATGCAAGCTTTCCAGCATAAAAAAAAGAAGGGAAAAAACGATATCTTTGTGATATTTATTTAATGGGAAAATAAAGCAAAGCAGGAAAATTCCAGTGAAAATTTTACCCGGGGGCTGAAAGTAATATAAGCAGTTCAACTAATTTCTGCAAAAATACTCCACTCACTCCAATTTCAAGTAGCCGTCATCAATTTAAAAACTTTTAAAAAATTAAAAACTGGGTGTGTTATGGACATAATATGATGTGTTACAGCCATAAAAACTAATTTGTAATTTTCATTTTTTTTTTTACATTTTTTTTAAAATTTGTTGTGAATGTAAATGACACCAAGACTTATTCAAAAATTGGGGATACTTCCATATTTCCATCTGTTGCGTCAATTAGAATCGCCCAGACGCTAAAAAAATTTTAAACCCGCTAATTAAAAAATAAATAAAAAAAACATGAAAATAAAATAATAGGTTCGACTGGAATTTTTTCTACTTGAACTCTCAGGTTGGTCCCCTTTTGAGATGGTTTCAGTTTTTTTATATTTTGCAGGCCCCTTCATGGAAATTCAGACGATTTGTCGATCATTCTGCTGCAGAATTCTTCCCCAAAAATTATGAAAACGTCTCGGATTTCCTTAAAAGCTTTAAAACTCTACAAATTCAACTTTCGAAAATGGTTGAATTACCCTTAATTATTTTCACATCTGGCAAAAGAAAGCATGTTTTAGGAGCTCTTCAATTTCAAGAGGATGTAACATTTTAATCAAAAATTTAACATGCCATGTAAAATACCCTAAGAACTACTGTTGGCAGTTTTTATAAAAATGCAACTATTTGATGCAGTACAATTTAAAAACTTTCAAAGATTTCAAGAGGAATATTTAACTTTTAATAAACACATATCTCTATATAATGATATTTCCTTCTCAATTCATTTCAAATGTTTAATGCAATTCAAAAAACATACACTATCTATTTGCGTGTTGTGATTATTTTCAATAACTGTGAATTTCACATTTATAGTATAATACTTCAGAACTTCATTACAAAAATAAAGATAAACACCATAAAACAGCGATCAGTACAAAAAAAATCAGCCATCAGCAAAATCAAAACAGAAAAACAAAAACTAAAAACGTTTATTAAACTTATTAAGCTGGCTTTGTCACTATTACAGATTTTAATAACGAAACCTTTTCAAGTGACGTCATCATGTCACTTGCAGAGCTGCAGTAGCTAGCTTGTCTAGAGATTAATAATAATCTCAATCGACCAATAACGCTTTAAGACAAAACATTTTAAAAGACCATCTTCAATGAATATGGTTTACCTCTTCCGACCACCGCAGAAAAAAGAAAAAAATAAGCAACTAAAAAGAAGAAGCATTCACACCAAATGTGGTTGCTGCCTCTTCGATCGCCGAAGGGAACAAATTAGATTTCACCAATCAGGTTCTCATATTTTTCCATTCGGCGATTGGCAGTGCGGTAATCACATTGGGTGTAAATGCCTTTTTAAGTAAGTTTTTATTGGAAAAATATTTTCAGTAACCAGCGTTCCCATTCTACTTCAACAGCAATCGGAAAAGCGTGAATCGCATTCAGTGAGAAGAACCGGGTACATAAACCGATACCGCACACCCTCAGTCTTTTTGCAGACTGATCCAAGTGGTCACCCACCCGCGCACTGACTGCAGCCAGTGATGCTTGACTTCGGTGAGTTGCTCAGAATCGCGTTTCAACGATCAGTCCACTGCGGGACTTGTCCAGGGTTGGAGTTAGGGGCTCTGGGGGGCATTTGAATTAGGGGCTCCTTGAAAGGATATGTTCTCAATTTTTTGGAAATGTGAGTAAAGCGCTTTATTGATATTGCTTAGTAACTTAATTCGCAAAATTTATAAGACCAATGGGAGCAGTGCCGTAACTTCACCCCTCGG